GCAGCCTGCTTGTCCTTTTCAATCTCTTCGGGATCTCTGTAGAAGCAGAGATCAGGCATAGCCTCCCACGGGTGTTCACGGGAGATGGTGCCATGCACACGCAGAACCTCCTGAACCAGCATCTACCACATCAGACCCACTGAGTGAGCTCTCCTATTGTTGCACGGGATGGCAAGTCCACATAGCGTAGAGGAGCTTCTGTGCTACACAGAGCCATGGTGGGCAGGTTAGCATAAGATGCCTCTGGGAGAGGCTGGTGGTCAGCCCTGGGATCAGTAACCACCAGCAGACGGGGCTCCCGGAAGGCGGCCTGGATCTGGTTGGCGAAGGTTCCAGGAGTGAAGCGGCCAGCCACAGGAGTGGCTCCAGTGGCAGCAGCAAACGTCAGCACAGCCCGCTGGTCAGAACTCCTGGGAGATACGACACTGACATCAGCAGGGTTTTCAGTGGCAACAATGGCACGAGCTGCAAGCAGAAGCTTCTCCCGGGTCCTCTTCAGGTTTATAACGCAGACGCCATCACTCTTCCTTTGATAGATGTACTGTTCCATTTGGAAGTCAAGGTTGGTGCCACCTAAGCGGGTGCCTGCTGCGAGGCATTTGAGGACATCCTCCTCCTTCATTTGCGGGACGTCAAGGGCTCCAGACACTGTGAAAGTTTCCCTTTAAGTTATAATGGGAGTTGAGGACCACGCTGCATGGACCCCTCTGTGGGCAGTGCGGAAAGCAAGAGTATGTCTTTTTATTCCAGTACCACTATGCAGTGTGCTAGACAGTAGACACTATTATGAACTGAATGTGTCCCCCAACATTTATGTGGCATTTAATCCCCAATGCAATAGTGGTAGAAGGTGGGACTTTTAGCGTGAAATTAGGTCACAAGGGCCCGTCCCCTGTGAATGAGACTAAAGCTCTTATGAAGGGTCTTGGGTGGCACTTGGCCCTCTTGGCCCTCCTTTCTCTTCCGCCACAAGTGACAGTGTTCATCCCCTCTAGATGGTGCCGTCTTGGAAGCAGAGGGAATGGGTCTCCCCAGATGGCAGACCTCTTGGGGCCTTGATCTTGGACTGCCCAGCCCCCAGAACTGTAGGAAATAAGTTTCTGTTGTTGATGAATGTGGTATTTTGCTATGACAATACAAATGAACAAAGATAGACAATAGTCAGGAAAAAGCTTGGAAGAGAGTTAGTTGTATGGTTGTCTAGGCTTTTCTCTGCTGAAACAGATGGGTCCTGGGAGTGTCTCCTGTTCTCAGAGAGGGAGAGGAGAAGCTGAAGTCAAGGGTATCTTCCACACGGCCTTCTGGAGAAGAATTCTCTTTTGTTCTTCTTTTTGCTGACAGCTTGATATGCTTGAGAGAGTCAGTGTATGGTATGACATAGAAAAAAGAGTGTTTAGAAATCTGTGCTTGCACCGAAGGGGCACAGTGAGACCTTGGGACTCAGTTGACCAGTGAAGAGACTGCATGGAAATTTGGGCTTTATCCTCAACAAATATCAAGAGATATGCATTTGCCTAGAATGCCTTCTCTTCATAAACTTCACATACACTTTAACATACTGAGGACATTGGAAATAGGTAGCTGAATGGGATCGAGCATCTGTAGGACTCAGGTTGTGGGTGGCTTAAAAACATTTCCGCAAATCATTTGATACCTTCATCATGAAAGGGTGGGTTTGCTTCCTCCCCTCTGATCTGGGTTGATCTTAGTGACTGGTTGGCTTCTAAATAATAATGTCATCATTTTTGGGAAAAAAATTCTTATAAAATGTATGTCTTGCTTTATTAATAAATAATTCAGAATACACTTGAACTTCATAGCAATTCAGGTCACCACAAACATCACTTCCTTAGACTTCTGTGATACTGCCTTGTGCTTTTCACACTGCCAATTTTGCTTTTTGCAGACTGTGATTTTTAAGATCTGCAATGGTATTATTTTCCTCTCTATCTCATGAGTCTGAAAACAGTTCTAAACAAGTTTTTTAGATAACTTGTTTTCTTCTATGAATTTCAAAACAAGAAACTACTTAATTTCAACTTGGATTTAAAGCTGTTTCTCCCACTTTCACATTTTGTGTCCCCCAAGTTGTTTTCTTCTTCTATGTGAGACCCCAGTAAAGATACCATCTGTCGATTTGTGTGAAAACAGAGAGTAATTCCCATTGAAATCTCTGTCAGCTGGGCTCGGTGGCTCAGCCTGTAATCCCAGCACTTTGGGAGGCTGAGGTGAGTGGATTGCCTGAACCCAGGGGTTCGAGACCCGCATGGGCAACTTGACGAGACCTCATCTCTAAAATAAATAAAAAATTAGCTGGGCGTGGTAGCGCGTACCTGTAGTTCCAGCTACTTGGAAGGCTAAGGCAGAAGGATCGCCAGAGCCCAGTAGGTTGAGGCTGTGGTGGCCGGGAGCGGCCACTGCACTCCAGTCTGGGTGACAGAGTGAGACTCCAACTCAAAAAAAAAAAAAAAGAAATCTCTGTCTTTGGAAATAAGAAAAGCCTGGGTATCTTCAAAGTTGTCAAAGGAATGTTGGATTTTATGGTGATTGAGAGTATTTCCAAGCTTACAAAGAAAAATATAAATATCATTAGTCTTTTATATGGTAGAAAAGAGTAAAGTCTGTAAAAAAAAAAAAAGAGAGCGAAAGATGCAGTTATATATCTGATATATATAGAGGGGGGAGGGTGAGAGAGAGAGAGAGAGAGAGAGAGAGAAAGGGATGCCACAGATGAAATGAGAATCTTGAAACTGAAATAAGCAAGTGTGGACCAGAATCTGGTCACATGTGCCAGTGGAATTTCATTACAGAGTTGTGGGAAGGACCAAGTAGACCTGGATTTGAAACTCATTTCTTCAGCTGACTAGCTACATAGATTTTGAGAATATGTTTAATTTCTCTGAGCCCTAGTCTGTTATCTACAACAAAAGGGAGATATAAACACTTATCTTATTGGATCATCAAGGATGCTAAACTTGATAATATTGTCAAGTCACTCAGCCAGGTTTGCAACACATAGAATAGTCTTAGATGTTATTTTACTTTTCTTTCCCACTGACCTCTTTTCCAGGAAGATGCAAAGCTACCCTTTAGCCAAACTATAAAATAAGGACTATTCATTTTGGACATCATTAATACCCATCTGCCCCTCTTTCGATCTGTTTGGCATATGGAGATGAATGCTTAATAGTGATCATTTTTGGTGTCTACACTGCTTTGTTTGAGCTAAGCAGAGTCTTGTCCTCAACTCTAATCAAAGGAAACTGGAAGAGCACTTGTTTACTCAGTCAGGGGTAGGAAGGTGTTCAGGTAACTTGAGGTCAGAAACGACATTTTGCTGTTAGTAATGCAAAGTTGAAATGGTGGCTTCAATCACCTGAAGGTTTTGTTTTTCTCTTAATAAAATTGGCAACAACAGGGCTGCCTGTGTGATATCAAAGACCTAAGCTCCTTCATCTTTCTGCCCACCCCGCCTTGCCACATGCTGCCCGCTTCATGATCTTCATGCCCACAAGGCCGACCTGCCTTAACCTCCAGATGGAAGGGAGGGCAGAGGTAAAGAACGCAGGTGCATTCCAGCTGAGTCAGCAGCTCCTTCCCTTTTACGACTCCATGGAAACTGCTCTGTGACTTCCACTGACATCTCAACGACCGGACCAGAGCTGCACAGCAGAACTGCAGGGATGGAGAGATTCTCTGCCTGAACTATTGAAGAAGTCAGCTACCGGCCGCTTAGGATTTTTCAGCATTTAAAATATGGCCAGTGGAACTGAGAACATGAACTTTTAATATTTTAATAAATATTAAAATAATATTAATAAATATCAAAATATTTAAATAAATAATACATTTAAACTGGCACGTGTGCCTAGCAGCTACTGTACTGAACAGTGCAGGGTTAGACCTTAGGCCCGTGACTACCCACCCCACCCCCGCAAGAAAGGCTGGAAATACAGGTTTGGAGCTAAGCACATCATGCCCCACAAAAGCATGCTTTCCTTCATAAGAAAAACAAACAAAAATGAAGACAGGCTGGGCGAATAGCAGTCTCTGCAACAGAGCTGTAGCTGCTTGCTAACATTCCTTAAGCCCGGAGGAATAGTGTCTTGATGGGTTTATCACAGGCAAGAGAAACGGTGTGTCTGGGAAGATATTATGTATCCAAAAAGCAGAATCTGGGAGCTGGAGTTCAATCCAAAGACTTTCTTTTTTCAGTGAGAAAACTGGGTCTTAGAGGGATGACAGAGCCTCATTAATAGACAAATGGGATAATCTGCTCTGAAAAAATATAGAGCTGATTTTAGTGGCTTTTTAAACACCACCTTTGGTAAAATCTTAGAAAGAAAATGCCCTCTGCCCATGGCTTTCAAAATACAGATAGAAAAAACGAGAGATTTGGATGCCACCTCTCGGTAGCATAGCTTGTCACTGAGTGGTGGAGGCATGCAGTCACGTAGGGCTCCCAAGTAAAGGAATGACGGGCAGTGGAGGATGTGGCTTTGTGCTGGTGTGGACAGTGTGCGTGAGCTATCCTGTGCCCCTCAGCATCTTGGAAGTGCTTCCTAGAGTGTTCCTCTCTGCTTTTCAGTAACACGACCAACCTCAGGCATACACAAAACACCAGAGGAAGACATAGCAGTCAATTCTTAAAACCACCCGAAGTAGGAAAAAAAAAAAAAAGCAACATTCTGAGCTATGAATAACCCTGGGGTGAGATTCAAGGCTCTTGTATGATCCGTGGTCGCAAAATAAATCCTGTTGTTTACAGCAGTCGCTTTGGCTAGGTGAGCACGGAATCATCGTACAGCTCAAAGGAAAAAAGAAGAAAGAGAAATTCACTTTCAAGACAGAATGCTCACCCTGACTCACTCGGGGCAGGGGCCAGGATTTCTGATGCAGGGCACTGAGCTGCTAGTCCCCTTCCTCACCTGCCCCCCCTTGCAAACTGGTGCACTGCCTTGGTGAGAACCCACATTTCTTCCTGCTGTTCCTTGGCTCTGTTCCAGCGTTTTGCTTGTCATGCTGACGGGTGAGATGCCTTTCACACTGGCAGAAGACACTGAGCGGATACCACCCCTTATGTCATCAAACAGGGACCGGCGAGTGGTTCTGCCCGGAGCTGGAGCTTTCCTTGCAGCTTGGGGACACCAGCACTACTGCAGCTCTGGGGTTTGGCTGTAGATAATTTTGGCCATGGCTGTGGAACCCAGCAGCTCAGAATCCACGAGGAGAGTTGGGAGGAGGTGAGTGATGCCACCGAGGGGCCTCTGATGCTACAGTTGTGGAGGGGACTCTGGCTGGTGGGCGACCTACTGTGGGCAGATTGAGAACATCATTTGTTGGGTGGGCATAGATCTTCATTTGTGCAGATGAGCTGATGGTCTCGTGTGACAGGGGAGTTCGTTTTGGTGGATGTGCCCTGCAGAAAGGCTCTTTGAATTTACCTTCGGTGCCACGCCTTGAGGGAAAAAAAATCCAAGTTTCTGGCATGAAGCGACATGTGTTTTCTGCACGCTGGCTTGCAGGCGACTGTTTGCTTCTAATCAGGGAACTGGAGCTGGCTGGCAGAGGACACCGTGCTTGTCACAAGTTGTGGTGTTGTGTTTCATCCGTGTGTCTCTGCTTGTAGCAGGGAGGGCTGGAGACAGCCACACTGGGGTCCCCTCCCATCCTGTGGGCTTTGACTCCGTGGCTTCTGCTCTGTGGTCCACGTGCCCATCCATTCTTAGTTTCCCCCATCAGAGCCCTCTTCGGTTATCATGCCCTATTCGCTGATGAACCGATTGTGTTCCCTGGTCTGGTCATCGCACCCGCACAAACCCTGGGTTTTGTGTCGATGCAGCAAAACTTACTTGGACAGGATACTGCAAAAATTAAGTGGGAGGGTAAGTAGAGTGCCTAACAGATCGCCTGGAATTAGCAGAGGCTCAGCACATCTTAATTCCTTTTCTCTCGCCTATAAAATAGGAAGTTCATGCTAAACGATACCTAAGATATGCCTATTATTATTAATTTGACAAATGTTTATCAACTGTCTTCTTATTTGGCAACAGGCACTTTTCTAGGTGTGGGGTTTTAAACACAAACAAGGCAACAAGCAGGCATGTCGCTCCTATTCACGGCACTTAAGCTTTGGTGGGCACAGTCCACATACAAGGAAACACGTGACGTTTCCTTCACCGGCTTTCATTTTTGCGAGTTCAAGCCCACTCAAGCTTCAAACTCTACCTCGGAGGCTGCCCTGTAATAAGACCTGAAAGCAATCTTTTCATATTTAGCAATCATATGCTGGTTTTGCCTGTCAGTCCCATCTGCCCCTTCTCGGTAGGAGGACCCCGAACAGCCCTTGGAGAAGCACCCCTGTGTGTGTCACGCTTGGCGTGTGTGGGTCAGGCGGGCTCCCTGCTGACTCCAGCAGTGCCCCAGGGCACATGACATGCTCCCAGAGGCTGTGGGAGGCCTGACCCAGAAGAGAAATCCCATGTCCTAAGGACACATGAGTGGCTGGTGCATAACCACAGGACCCAGGTGTTTCTGATCAAAGCGAATCCAAGGATTTGTGTGGGAGTGTCAGTGTGCAGACAAGCTCCTTCAGGACCTCCTGGACTCTGTGTTTCATCCAGTTATCCCATTCAGAAGGGTCTTGGAGGCGACTGGAAGGACAAAATGTTGTTGTTCTTTCTGAGGGTTGCTTCTCTCCTTCTCAAGATGCTTTCAATTGCTTCCCCAGGACCACGAACGGGGCTCCTGCTCTTTGTCCTGTTTTTTCTCATTTTCTGGCCCTTGAAACTGGAAACTCTCTGATGGGTAAAAAGCGTTTGGCCGATGACCTCTCCACCTGAAAGGAGACCTGACAGGTGGCAAGAAAGACCCTCCCATTTCCCCATGTCTTTTCCATATTAGATTCAACACGCTCTGTGCCATCCCAGCGTCAGAAAGAGCCCTGTGTGAACCTGCGTTATGCGTTCTGAAGTCCAGTGTGTGCCTCTGGCGAAATCTGTGTGCTGAGAGAACGGAGCTGTCTAGTTAGCTTGGTAGCAGAACAAGGTGGGCTCGTCGCTTCACCGTCTGTGTGCTGGAGTTGGAATACGTTTGAACAGGGGAGCCATCCGCTCCTTCTCCGGTGCCGCACCGCAGGTGGTAGGGCTGCCCCGCGGAAGACAGCCGGCTGACGCCTATTTTCAAACACAGGCACCCCGTCCGCATTTCTGCATCTTGTGTGGGAAGCAGACGTACTCGGGAAAACGCGGGAAGTGGGGGGAAGACTGGCTTCCGCTCACTCATGCGGGCACGGACGGGCCGACGACACCGGCCGGACCTGCCAGCCCGGGACCGGTGCGGACCCCGAGGACCGAGGCGGGGATGCCTCCTCGCTCCGGCGGCCGCTGGG